TATTACAGATGTCCCCATTTTCCTTTCTTCGCTGCCTATACCCAGATCCGCCCTTACCCTTCCCTCTGGCCATCACCATACCAGTTTTCTGTGTCTACGGGTTATGCATATGTGTTCTTTGCTGGATCCCTTCCCCTTCTTTCATTCAGTGCCCCTCCCTTCTGACTGTCAATCTGTTCTGTGTATCTATGCCTCTGTTTCTATATTGTTATGTAGTTTACTTTGTTTTTTAAATTATTTTATTGTTGTTCAATTACAGTTGTCTGCATTTCCCTCCCATCGCTTCGCCCTACTCCAGCAAAACCCACCTCCCTCCCTTGCTTCCACCCTCCCCCTTGGTTTTGTCCATGTGTCCTTTATAGTAGTTCCTGAAAACGCTTCCCCCCATTGTCCCCTCCCCCCTCCCCTCTGGCTATAATTAGATTGTTCTTAATTTCAATGTCTCTGGTTATATTTTGTTTTCTCTTTTCTTTTGTCGATTATGTTCCAGTTAAAGGTGAGATCATATGGTATTTGTCTTTCACTGCCTGGCTTATTTCACTTAGCATAATGCTTTCCAGTTCCATCCATGCTGTTGCAAAGGGTAGGAGCTTCTGTTAATTAGATTCCACATATAAGTAAAATCTGTCTTGAAATCTCAGTTTCGAAACTTCAAATTAACTCTCAGCATTTATGGACTGTCAAAGCTATATAACTTGGAGAAAGTTACTTAACAAATCTGGGCTTTGTTTTTCAACTATAAAATGGGAACAAATAGTACCTAAAACACAGAATTATTTGGAGGAATAAATAATAAGATTAAAGATGCAAAACTGGTAGTACAACTAGCACATTGCCAACTCACAGATGATAAAGTATTCTCCCCTTCCAGAACAAAAGTAATTTACTTAAAAAAGGATGACTATAATTAGTGCTTTAAGTAGTAATTCCTCAAAGAAAAGAATTTAGGTAACCTGCTTTTAAAAATGTTTTTAATCTGTTAATTGCAGCACTATGAAGTTTTATTGATGATGAAGTGTTAATTCTGTACAATTACATAACAAGGCATAAAGCACTTTGCAAATTATAGAGTGTTAAACAAATGCTAAACATGATTAAATAATAATCAATAAAAATTAAAACTATAGAAAATTCTTGAAAAGGGGAAGCTCATGGTATTTATTTGTTTGTATTTTTCATGTTTACTTAAGTCTCTTACATCTTAAAATGTCACAAAGTATTTCTATTAATTTAGAATTTCAGATTTATGCATATTTAGTTACAAATTAAAATTAGTTCACATGTACTTATAACTTTGCCCAAAATTTACTTTAAAATGATTTTACTGAATACCTGAACATCTTATCTTAGAAAAACACAGTTGAATATTTGTTCAACACTATTATTTTATTCTCAGCATTGTCTTGAAATGCCCTTTCATATTATTTAGGTTTTTATGTATCTTATTTGGACAAATGCACTGTTTCCTTGAAGGTTATTAACTCATGAATCCTGTGGGGTAAATTGCAGATGTGATGGGGTAAATATGTTTATAAAAACTATATTAATGATAATTTATATTGTATCATGTCATTTTATGTACAAAACAACAAAGAAAATAAGCCAAAAGAATAATTTTAGAATCATAAGGTAAGCATTAAGTGATTGTGAAACATTTATTTAAAAGAAAATTATCCGGGGGAGGCTGGGATGGGAGAAATAGACAAAAAAAACTGTACTTGAAAAATAACTAAATAAAAATTTTTTAAAAAGCTATTAGAAAAAATGAGAATAATACATCATCTCTGTAGTATTCATTCTCCCCAGTAATGCATAACATTAGTTTAATCATGAAAAAATATCAGATTAACCCAAATTGAGGGTTATTCCACAAAATTCCTGAAGTAGTCATCAAAAGTATCAAGGTCATAAGAGATAAGGGAAGACTAAGGTTACATTTGAAAAAAACTAAGGACTTGTGATCACTAAATGCAACATGGTATACTGGATTAGATTCTAGAACACAATAAGGACTTTAATGGAAAAAAACTGGTCAAATCTGAACAAAGTCTGTAGTTTACTGAATACATTGCACTGATGTCAATTTCTTATTTTCAATTGTTGTCATGTAAGATGTTAACCTCAGGGGAAGTGGAATGTAGGAAGGGCATTAGAGGAATTCAATGTACTCTATCAACTATTCTGTAAATCTATCATTATTTCAAAATAAAAAAGGTTTTAAAAGCTAAAAAAAAGAAAATTATCTCCTCAAACCAATAATAAAAGCTCAAACATTTCCTTCATTTCCATTTTAATATATTTTTTAAAGATTTTATTTATTTATCTTTAGAGAGGAAGGAGAGAGGGAGAGAAACATCAATGTATGGTTGCCTTTCATGCACCCCCTGCTGGGAAGTGGCCTGCAGGGAACTGGTCTGCAACCCAGGCATGTACCCTGACTGGGAATCGAACCATGATTGTCTGGTTTGCAGGCCCGTGCTCCATTTTAATATTTTTTACATTTCAGAATTACACTACTGAAAAAAGATAAAGAATCATCTTGATCTGTCTATATCCTTAATTTGAGTGGGCTTTACCCTTTTCTTTTTAAGTAGACCTAAATAAGACAAATGTCCACCTCTTTTGTGTGTAAAGACAGAACCATAGAACTTAGCTTTTGAGCCTATTGTTATTTGACCTTTCCTCCCTGGGTAAGACAAAGTCTTGTCACCAATGATATAATGGCAAATAAACCATCTAGTTCATAGATGTAATGCAACTGGCCAGAAGGAAATGACTTTTGTGAGGATATTATTCTCTTAAAAGAAAAGAAACCTGGGTTTAGATCCCAGCTTTATCATTAACTCACTATATGATACAGGAACCAGGTTCCTTCTCTCTTACCTTCTTCATCATTAAAATGGACGCTTAGACTAAATCATCACTCATATCTCTTTCAGTTATTATGTACTATTATTATTATTTAGCCAATTTGTAGTGGAATTTAACAATGTTGCTATAAGGGTGTTCTTTTGATTTTAATCAGGCTAATGTTCCTTGACCTAAATAGGAAAGATAAATGCAGTCTAGTTCAGGAAATTTCACCATGGGGTGTTTTATTTCAAAATACATGATCATTGTCTCTTAAAGCACATTTGGAGGAAGCAGACAGGAAGAAAATGAAAATAGTAAAAGGTGAGCTTGTACAAAGCAGCAATATTTATGGGTTCTTAGAAACTTGAATATCATTATTTCTTTTACTTATTAAAATGCTGCTTTTCTTAACAAGTTCAGTCCAAACTCTCCTACTCCTGGAAGACTTGTCTGACTTCAACCCTGAAATTTCACTCTTTATCCCAGTCCTGTAGGATCTCTGACCCCCTTTATGAAATCTTGCAGTGCTAGATATGACATTATTAGGAGGCCCTTACCACATATATGTTGCTTTATATTTGAGACAATTGCATAATGTCTTATCCACTTATCTAGCTTCTAAAAAGCTGCTGGGAGGTGACACCCTTTCTTTTACCATCACCCCCTCCCACAGTTTTTCCCGCATTCTCTCTTCCCCAATTGTATTTGATTCAGTTGTCTGTTTTTAGCAGCGATTCAATAGATGTTTGCTGAAAGGAGCTAAGGCTGTGTGAGGGAAGAGAACATCAGAATAAACTCTAGACACACCAAAAGCAAGTGGGAAAAATTCTTTAAATAAACAAAGCATCACCCACATGTTCTGCCAGAACCAAGGATACAGAATAAAAAGACAAAGCTCAGGCAATATAGTTTAGTCTATTGTCAACATGTCTGACCAAATGCAAATTCAGATTAATTTACATTTTCCCCATGTATTTTACCACACTTACTCAGCACTGTTCTCACCATAACTAGAGTAATACAAAATTATTAAAGATTGCTTTGGAAGTTCAGTTTTCTTATCCTGCGATCTCTTCAATTTTCCTTTAGATCCTGCTCCTACCATCTACTCCCATCTCTCCAATTTTAATAAACCCAATCACACCAAGGTTTTCAAGTAAGTATATTTCTAGGAGCATCAGGATTTGAAAATCAAGACTAGGAAGAAGGGAATGCTTACCTCCAAATCACTGATGTTTCAGGTACTAGTGAAGGAAACATTTTGAGGCAGAGAGCCTTACAGGTACTCTTTATAATATACCACAGAGATATGTCCTAGTATGAGGCTGGACATATACTAACATACTTCTTTGTCCCATGGTCTGTTTGAAAAATACTCTTGTTCTGATCTAGAAGTACTACTCAAGTCTTGAGAATTGCTTCAGCTGCCTTCTGCTCATCTTGTAGCAGTTCTGGTGGGGTGTTAGGTGTCTAATAGAGTGTAGTGCTGAGCTCTGGGGCTCAGAGGCTCCTTGGAACACCATCTTCAAGAGGCTGTGGCTACGGGTCTAGGCTACAGGAAACCAGCTCATTTTCACTCAATCCTCCCTAACCACTGAGAGGAAATGGGAGCTTACCTACACTTCCTTGTCACAGGGACTCTCAGGGGAAGGCAGAGTGAGTGAACAGGAAGTTGGGGGGGTGAGTTTAGATCTCCAAATTCCTCTTAAAAAGTAGGGTATTTATTTCATTACCATGAATTTGAAGGTATATACATGAAAAAAATACCCTAGGCAGAAGTCTACCCTGTCTTGACTTCTTATAGTGGGAATTACCTAAGCGATATCCTTAAACAAGGAATATCCAGTTTGCTACCTAAACACAACAACTGAGGAGTATGAGAAAGGATCATAATCAAGACTGTAGTGGTCCACGAACTGTGGAAGGGACCAGAGGGCACTTAGCTTAAACAAAGGGCTCCATAAATAAATATAGTGTGTGTATTATTACAAACTCAATGCTCAGTGCAACCACAGGATTGGAAGATAATATCTGCTAACCCTATAAATATAAATGAGACTTTCCTTGCTAAGTGTGAAGATTTTCAGGTTCAATGTACAGCCCATAGTGTAGCCCTGCACCTTGCATCATTAATGAGAGAGAGAGAGAGAGAGAGAGAGAGAGAGTGCTGCCCTCTGGAAAACGGAAATGTTCAGTGTGCACAGAGTGGCTTGCATATTTCACTCTGACATCTCACTACCATGTTTTTCAACATGGTAATGGTTAGGTAATGCTGATAATTTTATTTCTTTTTTTCCCTTTTGTTTTCTTTATTTTTCTTTTGGCTTCCTTTTTTGTTTTGTTTTGTTTTGTTTTACTCTTTTCTCACTTCCTCTTTCTCTCCCTTGTTCACTCCTTTCTTTCTCCCTCTTTCTTTCTTTTCTTTTCCCGATAGTAAAGGGAGATTAGATTGGTTGTTCTCAGAACAGGGAGCTGGAATTGATGTACAGATCAGTATCATCCTTTTGCAGTGGCTGTCAAATGAATTCTTTGGAGACCTATGGAGAAAACAGAAAGAAACTAAAACGGTAGGTTCTAGTTTTCAAATGCATAATTAGCATTTTCTGTGCCTTTTTACCCTTGATATCTGGAATTTGCCTCTTCACATCAGATTCTGGGTAACGTGTCAGATCTATGGGTGGTATGAATATAATGAACCCAGACCATCCCCATATGTCATTTCCTTGGTATTTGCACAAACAAAAATAATTATACAGTTGGTTGCCTGAGATGGGAGAGGGGAGGTAACTTTGAACTTGGAAAAATGTAAGTTTGATATGAAGAGGTTTTTTCATGATGTTTCACTCAATTCATATTAAATAAGATAGGCCTGTGAACATTTGTAATTTAACCAACTATGTTAAGTAAAGTTACTTGCATGAATATGTAGGATTTAAAAAAATCTACTCTGCTATAATTCTTTAAAATTGATGTTTTTATTTTGGGGGTGATTAAAATGGTTAAATTGATGTTGTGTCATTTTGAAAACGAGCTCTTATTTAAAAAGAATAAGAAAGCAGTAATATCACAGGACCTTTATGAATATGAATGCATGTTTTTATCAGCTGTATAACTTACATATTCTTACTATAAAAGTGAATTGTAATTATTGTTAGCAAACAGAATCTGCTTTCAAAGAAAGAAATCCAAGGAAAAATTTATATTGAGAGAGAGAAGAAAAAGAAAAACAGCAGACACAGTTGCTCTATTTCTCATGGATAAGCTATATCAGAATAAATGAGTACATTAAAAATCAACAATGAATAAAATGATATTAAGTTAAATTGACATTTTTGGTACTTATAATTGACAGGTTATTTTAACAAAATGTAAGTGAAATTATTTTCTGATTTGCATATTGTTTCTCTTCTGTGCTCAAAGAGAAAATATTAAGGACGTTTTCTTCTAACTTTTAACTCAATGATGAGGTTATCAGTGTCATGATAAGTGTTAAGAGTAGCGTTCAGAGATTATAAAAAAACGAAGGGCTGGATTTTCATGGTATGACATGACCAAGTATTAAATCTCAAGTAATAAACAATTTTCCTGCTCCTTTCTCTGTTGTCAACAGTGGTGTGCACGAACTTCATTTTATACTGCTCTAATCTTTGTAGAGAAGCAAAAGGTTATAATTTTATGCAATTAGCAGAGTTACTATTTGTTAGAGAGCTTTGGTCATTCAGCAAGGAGTATTTCTTTTCTGCAAATCTCAAATATGGTAGCAAAGGTATCAACCTTATTGATAGTATTCAAATTTTTAAGCCCAGGGAAAGATTCCATCGGCCATACTAGCAAATATTTGGATTACGTTAAAGCCCCCTTCCAAGAAGGTTGTGTAAGGGGGAGGGCATTTCTTTTAATTACATAAAATGTTCTTTACACTTGTGAACACATGCACTGCTTTGCTTTACTAAATGTTTACAGTAACATTTCTGTGAGACAAGAATCATCTAGTGTATTTACTCCATTGAGGCCAGTGTAATATGGTCCTAAATATTGTAAAGGTGAAAAAACACAAAGTAGGACATTGACTCCTCCAAAAACCTCGCTGAATTTCCACCAAGAGACTCTTAGGAATGAATGAACTCAATTATCACCATTTGCTCTAGGTAAGCTGAAATGCTTTTTGCCTTACTCTCATAGACACTTTTGGCACAATCAGATGCCCTGAACCAAAAAGGGAATTTAACTCCTCTGACAACTACATATTGCTGTGAAAAGGGATCACAAAATAGTTCTGTTTCCCTTGCCCATTAAAGTGACCACCCAAAAGTGTTCCTCTTGTGTCCCAGGTCTCAAGACTCAGTCTCCATATCCCTAGTCAGAGGATAAAAAAAGATTAAAAACGATTCAAATCCTTCCACTCAGAGGAGCAATGGCAAAAAGGGTCTGAGACTCTTCTATGCTTTGGAAAGTGACATAGATTGACAGTTTTCATTTTACAATTGGAAAAACTGAGGCTCAGGGTTGAAATGACTGGGCCAAGTACCTCTGTGAATCTGTGGCAGAAAAAAAGTTAGAACCTAGATATCTCGATGTCTCAGCCAGTGCTTCTTTTTCGTCTCCTTATTGAATAACAATGCTTGAGGATTAAGGAAGACATACATTATTCATTGGCAAATGTTAAAAGATGTCATTTTGAAATTACTCAAGAACCTCTCAATACCAGGGGCATACTTCAGGCTGTTCCTAAGGACCCCTGATAATGTAGCAAACTGTGATATGGAGGTTTTAGCACTGTTTCCTGCAAGAATAGGAGATAATTGTTTCTACTGTGCCCACAGAAAAAAATCCCAAAATGCAAATTGATACACACTAAATGCTGTAATACAACAATATTACATACTGGATGCTGTAATTACACACCAAGATTTTTTAGACATACGTTTAGTGGTTCTCAAGTCCTCCTTAAATCTCAAGATGTGAACTTTAGTCAGGGCCAAACTCACCATGGGCTGCGGGTCAACACTAGGTTTAGGCCATCTCTGAGCTATTGATTTTCTCCCCCAAAGAACTTATGCCTTACTCTAAATTGAGTATCTTCCTAGTAATGACTCCAGAAAAAGCTTTAAAAATATCTAATCAGTTGTAATAGCATAATCAATGAAATATAAGTAAAAAATAAATGTCTAATAAGTTACAGAGAATTTAGCATTCATCAGGTTTTGAGAGCATATCTAATATTGGCTCTAACTTTGATTTTGGATTCCCTAATATTAATATTTGAAGGCAATAATGATTCTTATTTACTGTATACTTATGAGGTACTAAGCATTTGGCAAAATCTCTTATATTTTGAAAATAACTCTATTTAATTTCATCATTTATAGATAATAGATGAGGAAACCAATGTGAAGGAAACAAATAACTTTCCCAAAGTTGCACAACTGCTTTTGTTGACTTTGAAACTCAGTTCTGTTTATTGCCAAAGCTCATTTCATCATGCTATGCTGTCTCAATATCATACAGTCATGTTTCACTATATTATCCTTTTCCATTTTAGAATCGAGAGATTTTATAATAGAGGGAGTCAAAAGTGCACTTGTTTAAAAATAGGAACTGTTTTTATTAGATTTAGTCTGGGTGACCTAGGAAACGAGAGGGCGATAAAACACATATAACACCAGGTAAAATGGATAATCAGGGGAATCATAGATAAAACATTTTAATTATCTCTAACCAATATTTATAGTATTTTATTATTTTCTAGTACAGAAGGGGTAATAATAGGAATTATATAATGTACAGCCCCAGCCCTCATGGAGTTTATTTACTTGGGGAGGACAAACTAGAACATATTAAATATGACTATAAAATAGGAATTTAGAAGAAGAATGTGACTTAATGACACGTTTTGTCTTAGGGAGTCATAATCCCCATTTACATACCGTAGTTGATATGATGCAAAAAGGTCATGACATTAGATACTAATACCTACTAGGTGCTTTGCATTCCTTTGGTCATAGTTCCTCTGTACAATTTGCAAAATGCCATGGGCAATTGCTTTTAAATCACACTTGGAAAATTAAGTTGTACCTGCCTCACACTTGCCAAGTTCCCTTCAGCACTTTGGAGCATTATGTGTGGTCAAGCTTGCAGCTTAAATGTGTATAAGGAGCAGAATAGTTATAAGGCTTACAGCTGAATACAGGAGAAGAAGTAGGATTTTTATGAATTAGTGAAATCACTGCCTTTAGAAATGCCAGATGGACTGTCCCAGCCATATTAAGGTTTGTATCTTAAATATATGGCAGCTTTCTATAGAATTTAGCATTTCACTTATTCAGTTTAGCAACTGATTTTACTCATTTCTCTCTTGCCTTTATGTTGTATCACTGCTGCTAGTCTATAAGTATTCAAGGAGAAAGGCCATCTCCTTTCTTTTTATCTCCAGTGATATCCAGCATAGTGACTTGATTTACAACAAGGTATTGCTCATCTCTTCATTTTCCCCCCTAGATTGATAGTTTACAAAACTGTAGCAGTGGGAAAGAGCCAAAAAGGAAAAAGAGCATTTATCCTATTTTGGTTATTTTCTCCCAGTCTTGCATGACAGTGGAAATAAATGTCTGTGTGTCTGTGTCCCTGTATGTAAGGGAGGGTGGTGAGGGAGAGAGGTGGGAAAGAGGCAGAAATAGGTGTTGATTTTTTCTGCACATAGTAAAAACAATGGCTTCCATGCCATTGCAGAAAGAAAATGAAGGACACTTGTTTCCAGGTATTTGTACACTGATGTTTTAGAAATTTGACATAATTTAGTAACATAAACAAAGCTTATATTCAAATGATATGACTATAGATTGGAAAGAGAATTATCCACATACATATTAGAGAATATGTACTTGGGAGGAAGTGTGATCTGGACAAAGAAACACAAGGCTTTTGAATTGAAACTTAGATTCTAGTCCTCTTTCTGACATTAACTTGGTATGTAATCAGGATGAATTCCTTCCTTTCTCTAGGTCTCAGTTACGTTCTTTGTAAAGACTAAAGATCAAAAGAGATTAATATATTATTAATAAAAATTTAATAAATATTTCCCTGGCTGGTGTGGCTCAGTGGATTGAGTGCTGACCTATGAACCAAAAGGATACTGGTTCGATTCTCAGTCAAGGCACTTGCCTGGATTGTGGGGTAGGTCCCTAGTAGGGGGCACTTGAGAGGCAACCAGACACTGATATTTTTCCCCATTTTTCTCCCTTCCTTCCCCTCTCTAAACATAAATAACATCTTTAAAAATGATTTAATAAATATTAATGAAGTCCAATATTTGTTTAAATGCTCAATCAGTTCTGCCAGCAATTGAAACATTATTTAAAAAGCTCACTGAACCATTATTTATGGCAACTTTGGGCTCACCTATGAAAACAGCACGCTCAATAGCTTCGCTCTAACTGAATTTGTCGCTGTGTAGGTTGCTGAGCAGTCTTCAGTGTATGATATGAGAGATCCAACCTGTTTATAACATTTCCCTCACTCTCCTCCCAAATCACTGTAATCCTTTTTGCTTGGGTCTGCAATGGTTCCCATTATTTCTTAAAATAAGTCTTCTGGGAAAATGTCTGCACACATCTTTGAAGGCCTCGGCTAATATCTTCTACTTCTCTGTCATCAATGCATTAGCTTAAATGAACTTATTAAAATCTCAGTGGTTTTGAGAGCTTAAATGTAGACATATTGGTCCAAAGGAATGTTTTAATGGGTACAGGACAGGAAAAATTCTGTACCAACCAGAAAAGGCTTCCCGAGACTGTGGGTTTGGATTGGATATTAAGATTAGGCATTTTGGGTTGTGGTATGAGAATTCTTTATCAGACCTGAGATGATAAAGCATTGGAAAGGAAAGACACATATTTCTTTATATATTTTTCAAATTTTATCTCAAATTGTGCCAATTTACCAGTTCAAAATTTCTACAAGATTTAGACTATTAGAACTCAAAGGAACCTGAAGGATAACTTAGTCCAACCTCATTTTGCAGATGAAGGACTGAGGCCCAGAGATAGGAGGGACTTTCCCCAGGTAATACTACTAATTAGCGATAAGTCTAAGACTAGAAGCTTATGTCTTTGACCAGTGCTCTTTCCTCTACAGCCTGCTTTCTACCAAGAGGCCTGTGTTGGGAATTGAAAACAAAAACAAAAACAAAAAACACAAGTAAAACACAATGTCTTTAGTGAATGCATTGGCTGTTCCAAAAGAAGTTGGTAAAGTAACCCCCTAAGCCAAACCCCATTGTTTGAACTTGCCTGACTCCTATCTATGAAATATAATAAATAAAATGACTTATAGGTTGTTGAAAGGACTAGCTTGAAGCAAATTGGTTTAGATGACAACTATTATGTTGGCTGCTTGTCTTTTATTTTATTTGCCTTCTTCTCTCTTTTCTAGAATTCCCTGCCAACACTTATGATAAAATCTGGATTTTCAGGTAATCTTACTATGTTGCAACACTTAAGACTGTCCCCCTCAAGGTTCCTGCACGTCCCTTATTTTACCAAATAAGATGTATCTTTCTTGTATTTCATCCCACTCTCTTTCTATGGTGAAAACTAGTTTAGTGTAATGGATTACAGTTAATGGGTTAATGTAAAAATCTTCCTTGTAGTATTTTTAATTTTATTAGAAGATTGTTGGAGACAAAGTTCCTTAAAGTATTGTATTTATAATGGAATATTTCAGGAAAGGTGGCAAGCCTGTACAAGAGATCATTGGGTAGAGTGAAGCAGAGAAGAGCGAGGTGTGGTGTTTTGATGCCCCTAAATCACCCCACATAGGAAGCCATCTACAAGCATTACAAGGGGACCTATATGGCAGTTTTGTGTAGAAGATAATTTACCTCTTAGCATCAGCTTTGCTGACAGCCAGTGGCTAGTTGGGTCTCCATCCATGTATATTCACTAACTAATGAAACAATTGCGGTTGTGAGAACTCAGAAGAGATACCCAACTGAGAAAGAGGCAATTTCTACCCTCCAGCTGTGCTGTGAATTTGATTAGAGTTGTGGAATTTTTCTGAGATATCTCATCATAGTTAAGAGCTGCTGGTGGCTAGGGAGTGACTTGTGAACTCTGCCACTGACATTCCTCCCTTCTCTCACCCTTCCAAAGTCTAACAAGTCAAAAAGAAATGTGAAATGGTAAAGGAATTCCCACTCATTCTACTTTGCTACTACTAAGGGCTGAGTGTAACTCTCTCCATACTCTCTTTTGCTCATGGTATTACTTTGGGAGATTTCAGCTTCCACCTGTTGCAATTTCCCAGCCCTCTGTAAAAATCTCCTTCAAGATTCAATTGGTCAATCTGACAGTGACCAGAGGCGAGGGGGGAATAAAGGGAGGGAAAGGGGAAGGGTCATCAAAGAACATGTATAGAGGACCCATGGGCATGAACGACAGGGTGGGAATTGACTGTGGGAACAGGAGGGGTGGGCAGGACAGGGGAGAGAAATGGGGGGGTAAATTGGGACAGCTGAAATTGAACAACAATAAAAAAAAGATTCAATTGGTCACTGTTCTTCTATTGTATGTTCTTTCAGGAATGAATAAATTGATCCAGCCAGATTCCCCATGGCTTCCTCAGTAAACCCTATTACTCTGATTAAGAAATTCTACCAGCACTGGAGAAAACAGTTAAGTAGTCAAATATGGTCTTGACCTCTGTTTTGGTATCATCCCTGAAAGGGTGCTGTTTCACTCTGTGGGCCCTGGGCAGGTACCGAGAGCCCTCACTGGCTACCAGTCACACATTTGCTTGTCCACTTGATGAATTACCAGGTAATGACCAGGTTTTTACAGTCTATGAATATCATCCTATTGAACATGAAAGCCTGTTATTTCTGGAATATTTGGCAGAATGTGGTATTTAATACTGTCCTGTGAGTCATATTAAAGTTTGAGGGAAAAGGAAAAATTAGTCATACTGATCTTATGTTTATTTACTGTTTTGATATTATGGCCATCATAGATTTGCATTAATTTTGATTTAAAAAAATATTGCACTAAAATATTTGTATCTTTATTACTGAGTTCTTTGGCAACTCCTTAAATTTTGTGTTACTCACCTCACCCTAATTTTTTATTGGGTCTACATACAAATTATACAGTGATTTCAAAGCTAAACTTTACACACACACACACACACACACACACACACATATATATATATATATATATATACATATACTACGCACACACACACACACACATTGGCCACTTTAGTCATACAGTAGAGAATAACATGTGAGTTTGTGTGTGTGCTGAGGAAGGGGATGCCAGTTAGGCTACTGTTCACTGATTAGCCAATGAATCTAAGGTTAAGGACAGATTTGAAAGTTATAGATTTGGGAGAAGGGGAATTATTTGTCATGTTTGCTTTTGGTTCCTTTGTATGGGTGCCTATAGTTAGAAGAAGTATATTACCATTGCACCAACCTAGATATCTAACCATTGAAAGGGACATGTCGAATACCTTAAGCTTAGTTTAAAAACCCATGAGCAAAATGACTGCATAGATTACTTAAACATGAAGAAAATAGTCACATTCAGATTAATCCCTAATCAGGAGGTCAGGGTTTTAACAATTAATACACTTCTTTATAGTGCAATGCTCTCTGTATGTGAATACAGAGTGCTCATGTTTAAATTAAATATTTAGTATAAGGGTTTATGCATATCCAGAAGCCAAATTTAAGCCACTCCATTCTTTCTTTCTGTTTGCATTTTTTCATAAAAATGAAAAGAGCCTCTCTTCAAGTCCACTCAAGATATTTCCCCCCTGATGTAATCAGGATGAGTATAGCTGAAGAGCTCAGTGAAACAAGGAGAAAAAAATCAGGCACCTGTTCAAAACATGTTATGCTTGCAACAGTCATAAACTAGTGATTAGTAATGGATGGAGTAGACTACAGAGCTAAGGACATACATCTATTGTCAAAAGTAATTATAGGTTGGCTCAAATAAAGTACTATACATCCCTTGGAGGTATTAACAAATGGGAGTGCTGATTGAGCCTGAATTTCTGTTGTGATATGAAATTCAAATAATTGGGGGAAATTCAAATGCATTTTAATTTATCGATAGCTATGAAAGTCCCTAATCAAGATACAACCTCAGACTTAAGAGAAAGATAAATATGATTCTAGTACTACTATCAAACAAACAAGAAAGTGAAGCAAAACAATACAAACATTTTATTAATAAAAATGTAAATAAACTTCTGTAATTTGTTTAAATGATTTTGTCCAGGAAACATTAGCTGGCAATCTTTTTTTGGCCACAGCATTTATGTATGCATATAATATATGTAATAAAACATTTAAAAACATATGATAAACATATAATTAATAAAATTTTAAACATATAAACAATTAAAAAGTTTTAAAATCAAGAAATAATAAAATTTCAACTCATTGATAGAGTCCAGGAAGATAATGTGTTTGTGTATGTGTATTATGTTGCTTTGTGTTTCTTGAGTGATTTTTCCCAGATGTAGAGATTCCAAATAAAGAATACTATTCATTCTTCAGGAGAAGAATACTGTTCTAGTGATGAATAACTTGGCGAGATATGTAGGATATGTTGATGGCATAGTTGGAGCAGTTGTGAGAGTTATTAAGGAAGTCAGACAGAGCTAGAACTAAGACAAAAATAATGTAGATAAGAACAATGTACAGAAAAGATCATATGAAACAAGTAACAGTCTATGTAGGAGGCAGAGAAGAAAAGCAGGGGCAAGGAAATTAAAGAAGATTTTAAATTGGAAAGTTTAAGTTATTAGTGATATCAGTGATATTCTCAATATTGGGAAAGACAGAAAGAAGAAAGTTCTCAGTTTTAGATAAATTTACCTTTAAGTTTGCTAGTCATTTGTTTTAACCTTCTTATAATCCCACCTGTGATGCCTTCTCTAAATGACTGATATATGGATAGATAGATTATAGGTAGATAAGTGGTCAATCACAGAATAATGAAAGAGCATTAACAGCATTAACATTGATGGTCATCTTAAAAAGAATACCCAGACTTCACATACCATCAATTACTGTGTTACTGACATCTATCACTGAAACAATTGGCTCTGAAAACTGTCAAAGAGTGATTTCTCCAATCTCTTTGTACCTGACATGTACTTAAGTTGGTAAATACAAGGAGTAGGAGACATCTAAATTTGAACTTTTGTCATCTCTTCAAGCAAAATGTCATTGTTATAACACTTGATAAAATGTCACTAAGAAAAACAAGAGGAAAATGCAGTGAGCTCAATGTAACTGAATTTTGAGAAGTGGCTAGTCATTTAGTTATTCCAGTGAAATCAAGAGCCATCAAAATCTAAGCAAATATTGCTGATAATTTCATTTTTATTCAGCTTTGTAGTATCCACTGGAATATTACTTAGACATTAAAAAAGCATACAAACTTGTCATTTGCCACAGCATGGATGGACCTAGAGGGTGTTATGATAAGTGAAATAGTCAGACAGAGAAAGACAAATACCATATAATGTAAGAAATGCCTTATATGGAATCTAAGAAACAAAATGAATGAACAACCAGAACAGAAAGAAACTCATAGTTACAGAGAACAAATTGATATTCACCAGATAAGAAAGTAGTTGGAGAGATGGCCAAAAAAGGTAAAAGGTGCTAAGAAGTACAAAGTGCCAGTTAAAAAATAGTCATAGGGGATCGAAAATACAGCATAGGAAATATATTCAATAATATTGTAGTAATTATGTATGGTGCAAGATGGGTACTAAATTAATCATGGTGATCACTTTCAAAGATACATCAGTGTCTAAAACTAATACGATAGTATATGTCAAGTATAATGAAAAAATAAATGAAAAATAATAGTGCTGTTCTCTGAAAAAAAATCTTTTTATTTATTGTCACTAGTTTGGGATTAAAAGCACCTTTTTTTCTTTAGGCTTTCACAAAATGCATTTAAGGGAAAGAAATTAGAAATGAATAAATAATAAGCTTATGCTTAAATTTTGCCTAGACTTACCCTAGGCCAAATTAATCCTGTAGGTTTAAAGACGTCCAGAAGTCCAGCTTTGTTCTCTGAGTAGATATGACATAGAAAGGTAAGCTCTTAGACTGTATCAAAAGTAAAAGTGCACAAACCAGCAGGTAAATTTAATTATATATGTATAATATATATATAATTTATATATATGTATATATATATATATATATATATATATATATTATCTTTTTACAACAGCAGGTTTGGGGGACAAGTGCCTGTTTAACATATTTTGGGTACTTTCTCACTCCCCTGACCATGGTAGGGGAAGGACTTGTCATTTCCTGCCATAAGAAGGCAGCAAGCTGTGGTAAAGGAAGTAAAAATAGCACCACATTGCCACAAAGAATTGTGCTGTCCTCCATTTTGGCATGTGTGTATGTGTGGTGGGGATGTGATATGTTTTAAAACTGACCTTCATTTGTACTTCTTTTGATCACAATACAATGTAGCTGCTTAAATGTATATTCTCAACAGTTTAGATTTCTTTTAAAAAGGGAAGGAGTGTGTTTTGAGTCTTGTACTATACCTTAGATCATTGACTGCAGATAAATATGGGAAATTTGTAGTTGGGTAGTTTTTAAAATGTCAAATGGACATTAAACTTGTGGGGACCACTGTTACTGTGAAGGATGTGTTTTCTCTTTGATTGTTTCTGAAGTTTCTTTGATTTTATTTCGAAACACTTTTAGTGAATATGCAGTGATTATTTTGGGAAAAACGTGGAGGAAATCTTAGTTCAATGGGATGGTATTCAGAGTACTTATTTTATTCATTGGCAAATTACCAATAAGGAAGAGCAAATTTTCCTGTTGAGAAAAAAGATAATTTTATAAAGAAAAGTATGTAATTCTTAGTAAACAAAAAGGAAATGTTCTTCAAAAAGTGTCCTCTGTAATCTCCAAATGCTTTACAGTGCTGAATCTCAATGATTAAAACAATAGCTAGAAATTACTATATGTGCTTAGATTTTATAACTTGAAAAGTCTTTAAATGACATGTTGCAAAAATTACACATAACTAGATCATTTAGAAAGTGGTTCTGAAAACATACTGAGACATTTGTACTATCTATTTAATAGATATTTCCTACATTTCTGCTAAAGGACACTTATTTAGTATAGGTCTATTCTAAGTGTTGTGAGTGATACACAGATGATTAAGACAAAGTCCCCACTCTGAGATAACTAATAATCTAGTGGAAATATAGACAACTAATTATACCATTGGACAGGATGATACACATCAGGCTACAATAGAGGTACAAATAATGTGCTGTGGGAAGTCAAAGGAAAGAAAGGTAATTTCGATTTGAATGACTCAAGGAAGTCTTGGAGGAGGATATGAAGTAATCCAAATTATCCTTTATATCAAGGATTTACCTATGAAAGTGGGAAGGTGGATATGGGGAAACAGAACATAAAAACATTCAAACTAAAATAAAAGACAGAAACATAAAGGTACATGATATATTCAAGGACAGCCTGGCATTGCAAAAAGCCTAAGAGACTTTGGAAGGGTATAGGAGACCTGGCTAGAAAGAGAAAATAGAGGTTTGAATTTCAGAATTTTAGTCCATCACAATGTGGACACTTGGAAAATT